CCCGCTGTGCTATTGCTCCAGCCCCATGTGACAGAGTTTTTAAAGGCTGAATTATTTTCCACAGTATGCACATATCACTTCTACAACTTATTTATTTAGGGTCTGAGGCCACACCTGGTGGTGCTCGGGTCTTACTCTTTGCTCTATGATCAGGAATCACTCCTGGCTGGGCTTGGAGGACCATATGGATCCCAGGGATTGAGCCAGGGTTGGCTGTGTGCAAGGCAAATGCCCTACTCGCTGTACTGTCTGTCCAGATCCTTCACTACTTATTTTTAAATTGAACTTTTTTTTTTCCATGGGGGCATTCACACCCAGCTGTGCTCAGGGCTTAATCCTGCTTCTGCATTCAGGACTTAATCCTGGTGGTGCTTGGGGGACCATATGGGATGCTGGGGATCAAGCTCAAGTCAGATTCAGCATGCAAGGCAAGCGTCTTCCCTGCTGTACTGTTGCTCTGGCCCTAAATGGAACATTATCGCCCTCTGATTTTACTTGTTTGCTTTGTGGAGATCTATTCCTAGCACATATTGGGGAACAGACTACGTGAGGAATCAAACCTGAGTCCCTCTCATATGTCTCTCGTACATGCTTCTAGTCTTTTAAGCTAGTCCCCCAGTCCTCAATGATTTTTGTCTTTGTGTGTGTGTGATTTTTGTTGTTTTTCCTGGTATGAATAATCAAGGTTGTCTTATCACTTACACTAAATACACCATTCAAAAGCCATCTAGTTAAAATAAGTAGAGGATTGTAGACTTGAAAATTTAGTGGGTCCTCCTGGTTTTTAAATGAGTCATTAGAAACCAGAACTTTTTCAAGCAACTGACAATTTTGTAAGCTACTTTATAGCCATTTAACAGTTTTCTGTCTGTCCCTCAGCAATATCACAAAAACACAGCTGAAAACACAACCTTTTCACCTTTTGCAGTGATATAAACTCATTTTGGTAAGTAAACAAGGTTATTAAGTGATGGACGTTGAACTCTTTTTTTTTTTTTATTGAATCACCGTGAGATACAGTTACAAAGCTTTCTTTCATGTTTGAGTCTCAGTCATACAATGATCGAACACCCATTCCTCCATCAGTGCACATTTTCTACCACCAATGTTCCCAGTAGCCCCCTCCAACCCAACCCTCCCCCTACCTGTATGGCAGACAAATTTCCCCCATTCTCTCTCTCTCTCTCTCTCTCTCTCTCTCTCTCTCTTTCTCTCTCTCCCTCTCTCTCTCCTTTTGGGCATTATGGTTTGCAATATATCTACTGAGAGGCTATCACATTTGGTCCTTTATCTACTTTCAGCACGCATCTCCCATCTGAAGGAGCCCTCCAACCATCATTGATCCCTTCTCTATTCCAACTGCCTTCTCCTCCAGCTCATGAGGCAGGCTTCCAACTATGGAGAAATCTTCCTGGCCCTGTCTGTACTGTTCTTGGGTGTCAGTCTCATACTATGTTATTTTATATTCCACCAAAAGAGTGCAGTCATTCTATGTCTGTCCCTGTCTTTTTGACTCATTTTCACTTAGCATGATACTCTCCATGACATCCCACTTATAAGCAAATTTCATGACTTCATCCTTCCTAACAGCTGCATAGTATTCCATTATGTAGATGTACCAAAGTTTCTTTAACCAGTTGTCTGTTTTCGGGCACTCAGGTTGTTTCCAGATTCTGGCTATTGTAAATAGTGCTGCAATGAGAATGTTGAACTCATCCTCTTAAGGGCTTTTTACAGGACTCAATGGCATAGGTGAGTTTCTGTGGGAAACTTTCCCTTTGAAGTGACCTTGGAGAAAATAAACAATGGAACTTCTGAGCTACAGGTGGGACTCAGGTAAGTTTAATGATCAGAAGCTATCGAGGTGAAACTCCACTCTCAAAGTTCATTCAAAGCCTTTCCAAAAATAGCCCTTTGAAATTAGTATTTATCAGCCACAAGGTGATAAATAAGCACAGCGATAAAGCCTTTCACATTTATCAGCAGAATAAGAAAATTCACACTCTCTCTTACCAGCCATTTCCCTACTTTTTCCTTTCCCATCCTTGAGGCTCTAGTTCTCCAGACAGTCACTGGTTTTTATTTTCCAAAGCCCCCCAGCGGGCATAGCTCCTGATCTCCATGGAAATTGTTGATTCAAGAGTGCAGATGGGGCCCGGGAGGGAGGGACAGACAGGAGGAGAAGCCCACTGAATGCTGATGAGACAAAGGCAAGAGAGAGGCCCAGCAGGGAGAATGGGGGCCAAGGTTAAGATGTTTGGGAAGAGACAGGAAGGTAAAAGGTGGGCGATGGGAAGGGAGGGAGGGAGCCAGGCACGACCTTCCAGGATGAGAGCTGAAGAAAGCAAAGGGGTAGAAGGTGGAGGAAAAGACAAAGTGAGAACTAGACATCCTGAAAGCCTCGAACCAAACCTGCTCATTGCACGGTGCCCAGCACCGAGACAGTGAGCTGGAATAGGAAGCGGCCCTTTATTTTCTTGGGAAGAGAAGCAGACCGGAGGCGGGAGGGGAGTGGTAGGGAATTTTCCAAACCAAGGAAGCCTGCGGCCTCCAACTGCCCCACACCTCGGGGTGAACTGTCCACACCACAGTCCCTTACCAGGAGGTGGGGGGTGGGGAGTGAGCGACTCTGGGGCAGAAGTTGCCTCTGCTCAGGACCGGGAGAGTTTGAGATGGGGAGGGGTCCTGGCAGGAGAGCAGCGGACGCCCGAAGGCCTTTTCCAGGGTGAGCATGGGCCCAGGAAGGCCCCAGGGGAACTGGCTTCCACAGACCCGGCTTCCAGAGCCAGTGCCAAGAATCCTGGGGTCCCCCGCTTCCTGCTGCCACCCCTGGGGCACCGCGGGGCTCGTGAGGAAGGGACTTGCAGCGAGAAGCCCGGACCGCACCCGGGCACCGTTCCTCCGGGTCTGGCCGGCCCTCCAGGCGGTTGCCGGTCGAGGCTTTGAGTAAACGAACCACTCAAGCTTCTCATGAGGCATGAAATGAAGCCGGGCTGCCAGCGGTTTATTGACACTCGGCAAAGGAGCACTGTCGCGGGTGTGCTCTCGACAAATGCGCTTCGATGCGTTCCCGCACTCCGCAACCGCACGGAGCTGTAGCCCGCGTTCACCGTGCGGCAGGCACAGGGGAGGTGTCCCAGAAAGGACAGAAGTGAAAATAGAGGATGTTAGAAGAGCGTGGCTAAGGAAACGGACCAGCTGGGGGAGTGGGAGATGGGGGTGGCACGGGCTGTCGGGGAGCGGGTGGCAAGTTCGAATAAACAGGCTCGAGAGTGCAAGTGTCCTGGAGGTGAGTGGGGTGCCTGGCGGGGTGGGGGTGGGGTGGGGAGCCGGGTCCCGGTGTGTGTGCGGGACAGGAGAGGGGTCCCGGTGTGTGGGGGGGCTGGGAGAGGTTCCGGTGTGTGTGTGGGGGGGCCGGGAGAGGGGTCCGTGGGGGGGTGGGCGGGAGCGGGGTCCCGGTGTGGGGGGCCGGGAGCGGAGTCCTGGGGTGGGGGGGGGCCCGGGAGCGGAGTCCTGGGGTGGGTGGGGGGGCCCGGGAGCGGGGTTCCGGGATGGGTGGGGGGTCGGGGCAGGGTCCCGGGGTGGGTGGGGGGCCGGGAGCGGGGTTCCGGGATGGGTGGGGTCCCGGGATGGGTGGGGTCCCGGGATGCGTGGGGTCCCGGGATGCGTGAGGGACGGCAGCGGAGTCCTGGGGTGGGTGGGGGAGCCTGGAGCGGGGTCCCGGGATGAGTGGGGGGTCGGGGCGGGGTCCCGGGGTGGGTGGGGGGCCGGGAGCGGGGTTCCGGGATGGGTGGGGGGTCGGGGCAGGGTCCCGGGATGGGCGGGGGGCCGGAGCGGGGTCCCGGGGTGGGTGGGGGGCCGGGAGCGGGGTTCCGGGATGGGTGGGGTCCCGGGATGGGTGAGGGACGGCAGCGGGGTCCCAGGGTGGGTGGGGGAGTCTGGAGCGGGGTCCCGGGATGAGTGGGGGGTGGGGGCGGGGTCCCGGGGTGGGTGGGGGGCCGGGATGGGGTCCTAGAGTGGGTGGGGGGCCGGGGCGGGGTCCCGGGGTGGGGGGTCGAGAGCGGGGTCCCGGGAGGGGTGGGGGGCCGGGGCGGGGTCCCGGGGTGGGTGATGGCCGGGGCGGGGTCCTAGAGTGGGTGGGGGGCCGGGGCGGGGTCCTAGAGTGGGTGGGGGGCCGGGGCGGGGTCCTAGAGTGGGTGGGGTCCGGCGCGGGGTCCCGGGGTGGGGGGTCGAGAGCGGGGTCCCGGGAGGGGTGGGGGGCCGGGGCGGGGTCCCGGGGTGGGTGGGGGGCCGGGGCGGGGTCCTAGAGTGGGTGGGGGGCCGGGGCGGGGTCCTAGAGTGGGTGGGGGGCCGGGGCGGGGTCCTAGAGTGGGTGGGGGGCCGGCGCGGGGTCCTAGAGTGGGCGGGGGGCCGGGGCGGGGTCCTGGGGTGGGGGGGTCGCGAGCGGGGTCCCGGGGTGGGTGGAGGGCCGGGGCGGGGTCCCGGGGTGGGTGATGGCCGGGGCGGGGTCCCGGGGTCGGGGGTCGCGAGCGGGGGTCCCGGGAGGGGTGAGGGCGGGAGCGGGGTCCCGAGCGGGCCCGCCGAGTTCCCCTGTCTGGGATCCGGCTTTACAGGGATGAGCGCGGGACGGGAAAGAGCCAGAAGCGATGGCATCTCGGCAGGGGCCTCCGGACGTGGCGGTGGACCACAGTGAGAACAGCTGCCGGAGGGCTTCCCGACCCGCATCCAGGTGGGCGCCCCTTCAGCCGGGGTCCGCAGGCCCGCGCCGGGAGCTGAGCCACCGCCGCCCGCGGCGCCCCCTGGCGGCGGCCCCCGGCAGCGCAGCGGCCTCGCGGGGCGCGGGGGCGCACCGCGTGCGCCGGAGCGGGCGGGGCGTGGCCTCGCGGGGGCGTGGCCGCGGGCGGGCGGGCGGGGGCGTGGCCTCGCGGGCCCCGCCCCGAGGGTCCGGCGCGGGTTAAAGGCGCGGCCGGGCGGCGCGGCGCGCACTGGCGGCGCGGGCAGGCGCGGCGCACGTGTCCGCGGCCCCGAGCTCCCCGGCGCCGCCCGCCCCGCCCACCCCGCCCGGCCGGCCGGTCTGCCCCCGCGCACGTGCCCGCGCAGGCCCCCGCGCAGACCCGCGCAGACCCGCGCAGACCCGCGCCCGGCGCGAGTGGGCGGCGGGGCCACTGCGCATGCGGAGCTCCAAATTCAAACAGCTGTTGGCAGGGGCTGCCCGCCGCGGCCGGGAGGCGGCTCGGAGCCATGGTGGACCGCGGCCCGCTGCTCACCTCGGCCATCATCTTCTACCTGGCCATCGGGGCGGCGATCTTCGAGGTGCTGGAGGAGCCGCACTGGAAGGAGGCCAAGAAGAAGTACTACTCGCAGAGGCTGCATCTGCTGCGGGAGTTCCCGTGCCTGGGCCAGGACGGCCTGGACCGGATCCTGGAGGTGAGCGGGCGCGCGGCCGGGCGGACCCGCGGACCGGCCCGGCCCGGGACGGAGCCCGGGGCCCGCCGCGCGGGCATCGGCGCTGGGAGTGGCATCGCCGGCCGCCCCGCCCGGGGCCTCGGGCCGCTCCGGGGCCAAGCAGCCCCCTGCCCCGCCCCCGCACGCACCGTCCACCCCCGCCACGGGCCCCGGCGGCCTCCGTCCGGCCGGGAGCTCCAGCTCTTGCCCCCGAGCCCGCGCCCGCGCGCGCGCTCCTGCACGGTGGCTCTGCACGGTGGTCTTTCCCGGAGGAAGACGCAGCGCGGTGGGCTGAGGACCGCTGCACCTGCGGCAGTGGCCCAGCCTCGGTTTCCCCGTCCCCCTTGCTGCCCGGGGCTGCTGGACGCCGGAGAGCACCGGGCCGCCGAAGGGCGTCGTGGACGCGGCCGCACTCGCTGCGCGTCCTTCGTTCGATGGGCCCTGGGGTGGGCGTGGGGAGTCTCGTCCTCGCGGCGGGGGATTCCTTTCCGGACAGCAGGGGGGTGTCCGCTTCGTGGCGTTTCCGTGGACCGCCTGCTTGGGGGAGACCCGCGTGGGGTCCCGGCGCAGGTCCCGCACAGGTGCCCGCGACGCGGGCTGGAGGCTGCGGCGTCTCTGCGCTGCGTGGGGGCGGCGGCGGGGCGGGGGTCCCTTTATAGCTTCCCTTGAGGAAACAATCGCCCTGCAGGAGGACTTGCTGGTGGGCCGCGGGGCTTTGTCTGCAGGGGAGGAGGCCGCCGGGATGACCGGGAGTCGCTGCTCGCCAAGTGCTTCCCCTGCTCCTCCGCGCCGGGCAGGGGAAGGAAGGAAGGGATTCAAGGCTGAATGTGGGAAAATGAACTTCAAAACGGCAGTTGAAGGGAAGGGGGCTGGGGGCGGGGAGGCCGCTGGGGGAACCCGCGGGGGTCGCGCTGGGCCCGCGGCCGCTTTCTTTGGAGGCCCGTGCCCAGACGCACGTTGTTGGGCACGTCCGTGATTTGCCCCCGGCCACCGCGCCTCCCCCTGGGAAAAGAAAAAAGGCAGGCAGGTAACTTCTAGAAACAAGACGTGGGCATCGGCCGGTCTGCTCTGCGCTCGGCCACAAGTACTGCCCAACCCTCTCCGGTCACGCGGGGCCCCTCGCTTCGGAGGAAAAACCCAAATAGCAGCGGGCGCCTGGGGTCAGCGCCGGCTGCAGAAAGCTGCCTTGCCCTGCTGCCCGGGACCTGGGGGTGCGGGGGCGAGGGAGCCCCGGGACTCACCACCCTCTCGCCCTTCCGGCCTCCGGAGAGGTTTGCACCTGAGGTTCCGCATTTTTTCAGATTCCAAATCACCTTTTGTAACCCGAAGGGAGCCCCTGGCCACGAATTCCTGGGGTGGGGGCTGGCCGGCTCCGAGGGGTGGCTGGAAAGGAGGGGCTAAGCCCTGGGGGTTTCCCTTGCACTTTCCCAGGCGTGAGAAAAGCGAGCCCACCCACCTTTCCTCAGCTCTGGAATCCGGCCCCAGGTCGGCAGGTGCTTCCTCTGCGAGGCTGCTGGGACCCCCACTTTCCATGTGCTCCCCCTCCTTCCTCCCTGCCCTTGCCCTTGAGGTGCTGGGGGCTGCCGCCTGGGCCTGGGGAGGGTGCTGGGGGTCGACCCCCGCTGTTGGAGAGACGCTTTTGCCTTCTGTCTCTGCCCCCTCCACAGTAAGATTCCTTGTGTCTCCTGTGCGAAGCGAGGGTCCGAACTGCAATTAGAAGTGGGAGTGTGGGGGGTCAGGGATGGTGGTGGCAGGCCCTGATGCACCCCAGGCTTCCTCTGGCTCCGCTGCTGTGACTGAGCACGCACTGACCAGGCACCTCGATGGGGCTTTTCTGGACTCTCAGGTACTCCAGGTAGTCCTCTAGTCCCCTGGGTCAGCAGGCGGGCTGAGCCGGCTTGGCTGTCTCCCCAGCCAGCTCCCTTGCCACCGGGGCCCTCCCTCTGGGCATGTGAGGTTGTTGAATGGTCTGTTGTAAGTGACTTAGGAAATGGGTTCGGCTGGACTCTGTCTGCTGGGAAATTCTATTTTCTGTTTCTCCTAGAACAGACTGCTCCTGTGTTGCGCCCGGCTAGCCCGTCACCTCCCGGTTACTGAGAAGGCAGCAGACTGCGCCACCCCACCCCGAAAGGCAGAGGGATGGGGTGAGGAGGAGTGAACCCATCTCAACCTTCACCTCTGTTGCGCAGTGACCATAAACAGGAAGGGTCTGAGTTTCCCATGGCCCGGAGCTCTGAATAAGCACTTTATATAGCTGCCGTCTTCTTTTTGTTGAATCTGGACAACCACCCCTTTTTATGGATGTGAGAGCAGTGAACCCCCTCACCCCTCCAAAAAAAAAAATATCAGCTTAGAGCTTGTCCAAGATTCTACAGCAAGGGTCAGGCTTCAGAGTACCGCGTGCTGTGTTCCAAAGTCTGTTTATATCGGGTGTTTGTATCAGGTTTGTATCAGGTGCCCACTGTGTGCCAGGCGCGGTATGGGGTGGGGCATGACTGCCATGCAGGGAGGAGGGCGATGAGTTCAATCGACTGCTCCAGTGGGCTGCCGGCAAGAGGTGAACAGACGTACATTCAAATAGAAAGGTAGGGCTGAAGAGTAGTCCGGGGCGAAGGCACTTGCCTTGTTCGTGGCCAACCCTGGTTCAATTCCTGACTCTGCGTAGGGTCCCCTGAGCACCTCTGGGTGGAACCCCCTAAATAAATAAAACCTGGAGGTGGGGCTGGAGAGATGGGAGATGGTAAGGCAGCTTGCGTGAAGCTTGGTTAGAGTCCTGGCATGCCAGGGGTCACTCCTGAACAGAGGTGTCCCCTCTGTGCCCCCCCCCCCAAAAAAAAACACAACAGGGCTAGAGATAATACAGCAGGTAGGATGCTTGCCTTGCCTGTGGCTGACTGGGTTCAATTCCTGGCATACTGTACGGTTGGATTCCTGAGCACTACAAGGAGTAATTCCAGAGTGCAGAGTCAGGAGTAATCCCTGAGCATTGCCCTGTGTGGGCCCCCAAACAAAAATCAGAAACAAAAAACTGAAAACTTAAAACTAAAACACTGGTGTTCAGAAGGGGTCTCAGGCCCAGCCTGAAGGTTCAAGGGCACTCTTCCCAGGCCCAAGAGGGGTCTTAGAGAGTTTAGCCGGCAGGAAAAGGGGGCAGAAGGACCTCACAGAGGGCTCTCCTCACCGTGGGAGACTGCAAATTTCAGACTGGCTTTCTGAGACCCTGATCGTCCCTTGCACCCCATTCCTAGTGGGTTTCTCGGGTCTCTCAGAGTTGCGCAGTTAGACTCTTGGATTCTGCTGGCCTCCTTCCTCCTAAGCTCCAAACCACTTTTTTTTTTGCTCTTTGGGTCACACCACGATGTGCGATGCACAGGGGTTACTCCTGGACTCCTGGCTCATGCACTCAGGTATTACTCCCGGCGGTGCTTGGGGGCACCATATGGGATGCTGGGAATCGAACCCAGCTCGGCCGCATGCAAGGGAAACGCCCTACCCGCCGTGCTATAATGCCAGTCCCTCCAAACCACTTTTCTAACCGGAGTTTGGCTGTTTGATTGCGGGCAGGGGTCTCCTCCTTTTATTTCCGGGATGCCCTGACAGCTCCCCATGCAGGTTGCAGCCTTACAGCAGCGAGGCACATTCCAACTTTGAGGTTCCTGCCAATACCAGTCATCCCGCCCTGATTTTGAGAAATATCGACGTGGATTTAGCGGGTAAAGTCACATCTGCTCAGAGAGCCGCAAAGAAGGCTTGTTAATGGAGTTTTCTGGAGCACTGGGGCTGACATGAAAAACCTCTTTTTGTGAGCTGGTCAAAGCTGTAAAGCCCCGGCGCACTTAGCGGCCTTTGTGAGGCGAGGAGGCTGCACAATAGAGCTTTTGATACTCGGGACAGGCCAGTGAGTGGTCTCCACCATTCCTCCAGACTCGAACCCGCCATTCAGGGCTGCACGTGTGCACAGTGGAGAAGTGGGCTCAGAGAGAGGAAATGGGAGAGAGCGGTCCCTTCTTCACGGTTTCTTCTCTTAGTTATGTTTCGTTCAGAGCTGAGGGCTGCTCCTTCTCCCCACGATAAATTCTCAAGTGCACAGGCCCGCCTTTGTTAACTGCTCTGGTTAAGAGTTTGAGCTGTGGAAGTGAGTTTTCATCAAGTCATTTGAGAGTTTTACTGGAGCACTTGAGAGCTGCAGATGAAGCGGGAGAGACCGGGAGGGGAGCAGTGAATGAGCGGGCGTTGAAAGGTCCTGGTGGGAGTCGGGGGGGGGGGGGGGGGGGCGGGGTGCCGTGGAGGGGCCAGGGAGGTGATGGCTGTTGCTTCTGAGGACTTCCCTGGGGCTTGGGCCCTTTTCTAGTCTCCCGTTGGAAAGAAACACAACCCCCAGTTCTGGATGCTGCGCTTCAATGCTTCTGACCTCGGGCCAAAGGCTTTCATCTTGGACTTGGCTCTCTGCTGCGGGGGTTGGGCCCACCCTTCCCACTCTGACGTGTGTGTGTGTGTGTGTGTGTGTGTGTGTGTGTGTGTGTGTGGCCGGGAGGCTCCGGGGAAGGAGAGGCACTCTGCTCTGAGATGAGCCCCCGGGACACCAGTGTCTGTGGCTAGGTGCTCCTCGAGAAGTGGGGACCTCAGAATGCATGGTGAGGGGCTAGTGGGAGCCGGGGTCACCACCTTTCCCTGCTCCCTTTGAGGGGGGTGGTGTGTGGAGAAGGTCCCGGCGATCTCTGTGGGGAGCTCAGTGGGTGCCCAAGTATTCGTGGAATCAGATGGGGGACCCCAGGGTGCTACCTGCCTCCCCAGTGGCAGGAAGGTAAACCTGTTCCTGAGGGTTGCCCAGGCAGGAGAGTGACCTCAGTCACGGAGGTCCTGGCAGTTGGTGCTTGGGATGTGCTGCTCATGGGGGGTTGGTGCCGCTGTCCCCCTCCGGGCCCCTCCAGGCACAAGAGTGGCAGGAGAGACGTCACTCGATTTTTTTTTTTTAGTGAAAC